ACCAGTTTATTTCAAGGATGTGCTGACCTCACAATGGAAGCCAGGAGATGTGCTGCGTTGGGGAAGGGGTTTTGCTCTTATCTCCACAGGTGAGGAACAATTGTGGATACCGTCAAAATTAATAAAGGTTCGGTATGAAGAAGAAAAGCCATTTGGAAAAGATAAATAACAATTCATTCACAAGGATGGCGAGCATACTGATGGTAAGGAATTCAGGTAGGTTGGGGGCAGGGTTTTTTTTTTTTTTTATCTCCACAGGAAAATACTGATCTTCAAAGAATTTAAGGGACCCTGAATATTTAATAACTGATGGATGGAAAATAGTTACGACCCACTAAGACTCAACAGTAACATGAGTAAGTATTGATTATATATATATTTTCTTTTTTCTCTTTGAACGCTTCTTTATAAATATGTAGAGCTGGTTTTGGAGTTGGACTATGGCTCAGTCCCTCTTCAATTCCAAGCCTGTTGATAAGAGATATCTCAGAGTTTCTGTCTCAGATCAGGAGCCATGAAATGGGACAGAATGAGGATAATTATATACTTGATAAACTTTCTTTGCTTTTCCTCATATCTGTGTCTTTCTTTATATGTCAGAATATGTCCTTGTTGTTAATGTTTAAATTTCCCATAACAAGCAACAAATTTCCCTACAGTAATTTTTGAAGTTTCCAGGATGAAGATGGGGCCCCACAACATCAACTCAACCTGGTTTTTATGACGTCATGAATATTTTTTTTCTTTTTCTCTTTTTTACGCGCTAATATGAGACCTGTTTTTTGGTACCAACTGCACAAGACAATTTCGAATGGTGCACATTTTTGACAACACTCTGGCCGGACCTTCTCAAAGTGCTCAGGGACTAGTTATAATTTTCTTAGGTCAAAGGTTAATTTGGGAATTTTACCATCATTTGCTTTCACAGGAGCCCCTAAGGAGAACATCGCCCCCATGTCAGCTTGAAGCAATCTTAGAGGACGACGTCCCCTCTCCCAACAGAGTTTGCCCTCAGGGTTAGGGACATCTTTTAGTGGTTGGTTTGGGGTTGAGGGGATGGGGAGATGTTTTATGGAATTAGGGGTATGTTCGAAAAAAAAAAAGGGGGGGGGATTAACTGGTTTGATGGGATGATTGGTATTTGTGAGTTACTGTTTTTAGAAAATTGTATTGGTACTGTTTTCTGTATATTGACATATTGAATATTGAATGTGAGTGTTCCTACCTCTATTTTTGTATAAGAATATGCTTATATTGTATTGATACATCTACCATATCACAATGTACATTTCTACCTCTGATACTATTTATGTAATAACATTGTTTACATTTGATATGTAATGACATTGTTTACAGATGAAGATCATTGTCTTCATATATTGCACAGTTGTTTATTGTTTTAGTCTTTAAGTTAGATAGATATTGAGAATTATATAGATTAATAGTCATCTAAGTTTGTCATTTGTAATTAGACTAATCAGGTTCTTTAGATATATAGAGATTATACTCAGTATAGATAGATAATCTTCAACCTCTTTGGAGAGCTGTAGAATATGGCCTTTAATATAACTCAGAGTTTCGTGATAGTGAGACACAATTGCTCCTGGCAACACCGCTCTATTCCCGAGAGAACGTTGAGCACCAAAGACACTCCACTGGGAGCTTGTCTTCTTGGCAGAACTGGCCTTTGGGTTAAGAAAAGCCCATACCTCAACCACTGACAAAGATACAGAGCGTGCATCAATGGATACAACAGGACTGTCATATCCTGCCAAGACAGGGTAAGATAGTTTTGAAAAGTTCCTTGCCTTTAATAATGGTATGTCAGTTATGTTAGGCCTTAGCCAAAGTTGGTTGACTCAACATTGCAAACGAGACTTTGGGTGATTGCTCAGGTAGTCAGTTGTCTTTGTCAATTGTTACACATTTGGATCGTTTGTTAAGTAATATTTATTGCCTTCTCGGATCTTTGATGGAGTTGAAGATTATATAATTGTAGTTACTCTCTACATTATTTAGACTCCTTGAGATAGAATGTTTAGCAAAACTTTTGATTCTCAATATTGTTTGTTATATTTATTTGTTATTATTGTATATAGTTGTATTTGGTTTAGTTCTGTCTTATTTAGACAAAAGGGGGAGATGTAGGGATAAGTCCCACCCCTTAGGGGGCGTGTTCGCCTCAGGCTAAAGTTTTCCTATAAATTTGGCAAGCGTGCTCCCAGTGCTCGCTTCTGCTTTCCTGGTCTCCGCGGGAACGGTGGTTCTGTAAGTCTATTCCTCCATTAAAGCTGTCTATATTTTGACAATCTGTCTGCATTCACTTACGCCGTTACAATACTGAGATTAGGACAGAGGAGACTTGCATGGGAAAAGGCTTTTCTCCCCATTTCTGGGCAAATCAACATGGAGTGCCTGTAGCTGGTGGGGAGTGGGCCTGGCTTTCCACACTAGCACAGGCTTGGGGCAACAAGCTGAGTATGTTGTACTTGGGGACGTGTCCACCTGTGCATGCCAACTCTTTCTCAATATCTAAGCTCTTTGCAAGGTCCCTGGGCAGTTATGTTATCTCTCTGATAAATGGATTTTCGTTGTTCTGAAATGTCACCCCTATCCCCTGTGGCCTCTACACGCTTGTATTAATAGCACCTCCTCAGCCTTCCAGGACTCCCCCAGCCCTGGCTTCCCCTGCAGTCTATCTGTCTTTATACTTTGTGTCTCTCCTGGTCGGGGAGATAGCTCAGTGCTAGAGATCCTATGAAGGACACTCAAGGCTCTGGTTTACCCCCACCACACACACAAATAAATTAACCCAATATGTCTCCTGTGGCCCGACTACCATTGGCTCCTGCACCTTTATCCCCCTCCTCCTGGGAGGTTCAGGTACCCCACTAGCTAACAACAGCTCAGCTGCTGGCACTTGTTGTTCCTGTTCTTTCTTCCTTCCCTGCCTTCCCGGGAGTTGATCTTTAGGATCGTATTGCATTTAACCTTTAGTTGTCTGCTTTCCAATCGGCTTTTGAGCTATTTCCTAATGCATTTTTCACTGTTAACAATGCAACACTGCCAACTAGGAAAGTAGTCCAGAAGCGGGGTTTATTTTGGCTCAGGAGTTTGGGCCCAGGCTGAGACACCAATCTGAGGAGAGCCTTCATGCTGAGAGATTCCAGAGGCTGGCAGAGCATCTAGGAAAGAAGTGGGAAGCCTCTAGGCGCAGGGGCTGTGCCTGTGCTAGCAGACTGCCCTGAGGTAACCCACTACCCACCCATCAATGGCACAGGTGAATGGATCCCAGTGTGCATTCAGAGGCCCCATCACCTCTTAAAGGGCCACCCTGTGACAATAAGGCCAATGAATCTTTAATATGTGTTTCAGCGATGATAAACCAGATCGATACTAAAGATTTATATCTTTTCATAGTTTTTTTTTTTTTTTTTTTTTTTTGAGACAGGGTTTCTCCGTAGCTTTGGAGCCTGTCCTGGAACTAGCTCTTGTAGATTAGGCTGGCCTGGAACTCACAGAGATCTGCCTGCCTCTGCCTCCCGAGTGTTGGGAATAAAGGTGTGTGCCACCACCGCCCGGCTTCTTTTCAGTTTTTAAAAAACGTTTTTCTAGTGTTAAGGTAAAATGTGTGATTTAAGATTTTTCATGTGGTTAAAGCATCTGTTAAGTGCGCACTTGAGTGTCATGAAAGGCAGTCACCGTGGTGCACACACGCCACTTTTTAGTCCCCACCACCACATCCCAAGACTTGGCTAATACTGAAAACAAAATCTCCATAGCCATTTTCAGACCCCCCCCCCCTTCTGTTAGTGTCTGCTTCCGTGACCGCACCACCTATTCATCTACCGTCGTATTGCTTTGCCTAAGCTGGAACTTTGCAGCTACAAAAGAAAATCCACTTAGCCTTGCTGACCTGTTCAGTGCCATAGGGTTCAACCCCACACGCTGCTATAGTTTTCCTACTGAAATAGCCACAGACGTTCTAAAGAGACAGGCAGCAATGTAAGCTCAAGCTTGCTCCTAACCATCTCAGGCCCTCCTGCAATACTTTGCTCCTGATGCCCTGGAGGCTGTGGCCCATCTGGCAACTCTCACAACAGCTATGACAGTCCCCATGGGGAAAACCAGAAGGTGTCAGTATCCCCACAAAGTATCCATGAAGCACATCCCTGAAAGCAATGTGTTTCTGAAATGAACTTTGAAATCCATGTACAATTGGATGGAGTATCAGAAACAGAATAGTATTTATGGGGTCAGGGACCATCTCACCCTCTTGCAGCCAAAAATCTCTACCCTTTCTGTGTTGTATATGTTCAGTGTGTGGTTTCATGTTTATATATGTATGTATTCGTGGAGGTGTACAGGTATGCACGCGCATGTGGAAGCCGGAGGTCAACTTCAAGTGTCTTTCTCACTCTCCACATTATTTTGTTGAGACAGGATCCCTCACTGAGTTCACTGATCAAGCTGAGCTTTCTGGCCAGTAGGCATCAGGGGTCGTGATTTCCCCTCCAGACACACCTCACCATGCCTGACTTTTTACACAGGTACCGGGAATCTACACTCAGGTCCTCATGCTTGCAAAGCAAACACTCTACCAAATGAGCCATCGCCATAGCCCCCCCCCCCCCAAATTCTGTTCTTAAAACCATGGTACTCGGGTCTTTAAATGGCCAGCAAGGTACTGAGAATATTGTTTGGATTCTAGAAGTTATGTCACAAATCAGCAGATGCCAACTGGCAAAGGAAAAGGTAGACCATCAGAGACAACAGAGTACTGAGCAAGCCCAGGAAAGTCATTCATGCTGCAGTAAATGGGCCGGGCATGTTCTGCAGTACAGGGAACACTCCGGAAGCATGTATTCTGTGGATAGAGAAAGAACAAGCATCCCGACAGAGCACATGGGGCTGCACATAACTTCCTTGGACAGCCTCTTAGTTGAAACATGAATTCAGTTCACATCTCTGATGAAGACAGCTGCCTTCTGGGCTCTTTCTCCAAAGAAAGGAGGGCACTGAAGTCTGAGACTAGTCCAGCTGGTCTCCAGGGGTGAGCAGTCCTCTCTACCTCCACCCCATTTCTGATGAGTTTGTTAAATTAGGGGCATTAACCTGCTTCCTTTTCCCTGAAAAATGACCTCCCCCTGACACGGGGTGGTAGGGTTGAATACAGCACGCACTTCTTACCTTCTCACTTCCTCCTCCACTGCTCACTGATCTCGCAAGACTTTTGAGAAAGTCTCTCTGAGGATGACCTTTGCTCTCAGAACTGTCTCCTTCTTACAACCTAGGAATGTCTCTTTCTGCTGGTTCCAAAATCTCAGACTTCATTTAACTTACAGAGCTCTGGCCAGTGTTGTCTCCCTTTAAGAGACCTTGGACTCTCCTGGCATGTGTGAGAAGCTCTGCTTTCTTGAACTAGGTCCCTTTGGGGAAGGAAGGAAGGGTTCCTCTGCCTTACAAAAGTACTTGCTACAAAGCGAACAAGTCATTTACAAGAGATCAGTGTGACTCTACCTCCTTGTTTTGGCTGACTTGGGGTCTTCATGCACCCCAACCTGGCCAGGGTGCCAGATAGCTGCTGAGGATGATCTTAAACTCCTTATCCACCTGCCTCCATCTCCCAAATTCTGGGATCACAGGCATACACCCCACATGCAACTGTGTAACTGAGTGCTCTTCTTGAGGGCAGTAACGAGCAATATATATATACACATGTGTGTACATATACATATGTATATATCAGTTGGGCTTTTGGTATCTTAAAAAAGGTTTAAGAGGGGCTAGAGAGATGGCTCGAAGGCTTGGTGGTGAAGAGCTCTGGCCGTTCGTGCCGAGGTTCTGGGTTTGGTTCCCACCACTCACATGGTGGCTCACAACCATATATAACTCCACTTCCAGCAGATCCAATACTTTCTGGCCTTGTCTTCCCTAGGCACCAGGAACACACATACCTGCGGGGAAAACATTCAAAAAATATAAATTAGATTCATATTTTTTAAATAAAAAGGTAAAGGAGTATGAGATTTTTCTATTTTGTTTTTATTTTGCCTTTCTTGCGGCAGTAGAGATAGAAGCCAGGACCTCTTAACATGCTAGGTAAATCATGGAGCCACAGCCCAACCAGACACTTGTCTTTTTATTTTTTCTATTATGTGTATGAGTGTTTTGCCTGTATATGTGTCAGTGTGCCACATTTATGCCTATTGACCTTGGAATCAGAGAGGGTGTTGGAGCCCCTGGAGCTGAACTAGAGATGGGTGTAAGCCACCATGTGGGTGCTGAGAACCAAACTCAGGTCCTCTAGAAGAACAGCCAGTGCTCTTAACCACTGAGCCATCTCCCCAGCCCCCAAAACTTGGCATCTTTTTTTTTCTTTTTTATTTTTCGAGACAGGGTTTCTCCGTAGCTTTTTTTGGTTCCTGTCCTGGAACTAGCTCTTGTAGACCAGGCTGGCCTCGAACTCACAGAGATCCGCCTGCCTCTGCCTCCCGAGTGTTGGGATTAAAGGCGGGCGCCACCACCGCCCAGCAAAACAAAAAAAAAAAAAAATGGGCTGGAGAGATGGCTCAGCCGTTAAAGGCTAGGCTCACAACCAAAACTTGGCATCCTTAATAAACGCCTCTAGCCAAACAGAAGGTAAAGCCTCTCAGAGGTCACAGCGCAGACAAACCCCTGGGAGCTACTAAATCATGGGTTTGAAGAGCTCTTGGTAGTTCCGAGCTTTGGCAGCTTTGGAACCTCCAGGGACACTGACCAGCAGGCCCAGGACAGCAGCTGGGGAACAGGCATCCATGTTCTGCACACTGAAGCACTCCTCTGTCCCCTGTTGGGAACACAAGCATTTTTCTAGTGTTTGATTATTAAATCCTCAGCAGTGGGTTCTGTGGAGCCAGGCAACATTTCAGAGCTGTCCGTTACACACTTTTTGCTATCTCAATGCCCATCGCTGATCATAAATCGTGTCCATACAAAATGACTTCTCTTTGATGTTGTAACTAACAGTTCACTGCTGAGCAGAGCAACCCTGATCTTCACCCAAGAGAAAGCTACTGTTTCCTTGGGGGCAAAGCCAGTGCCAATGAGAACAGATGCCAAGTGACGCTGAGAGAAAGGACGTCAGCAAACCCCACGCACAGAAATGGATGTTTGACAGGGGAACATTTACCTTAGGCTTTCCTAAGCCAGGAGCCTGGATTCGGATCAGTCTAGATCCTGCATCAGAGTCACCAGCAGAGGGCTGTTAAAATGCAGACTGCAGGGCTGCCTTAGCCCCCAGGATTCAGGTATGGAGCTTGGCAGGGGTTTACTGGCTGGATACCCCACCCAGAAGCCCACAAACCTAGACTCTAGTTTGGAAGAGACTGCCTTTTGGGGGTCTTTACAAATCATCTAATCCTGGGGTGGATCCAGTACAAGATGACTTCATGGTGTAGTCGACACTGTCCTAGTTCCTGGTTGCGCCCCAAAAAGTACTTCAGAGAGAAGTGGTGATGCTTAATCTCTTCAGTTTGACAGGACCTAGAAACACCCAAGAGAAATTTCTAGGCATGTTTGTGAGGGAGTTTCTAGATGGGGTTCCCTGAGGTAAGAAGAGCCACCCTAAATGTAGGCAATCCTATGCCTGGGGTCTTTGGGGTCCTGGACTGAACAAAAGGGGAAAGTATGCCGAGCTCTAGTGTTCTGCTTCCTGACCATGGGTGCCCCCCCCCCCCACAGGCTGCCATGCCTCTCCTCCTAGGCTGGACTGCACCCTCCAACTGTGAGGCAAAGCAAGCCCTCCTTCCCATAATCTGCTTTTGTTGGTGTTTTGCCACAGCAACAAGACATGTGGCCCTTGCAGAAGACACAGAATAGCACCTTTGACATCAGGCTTCTCTTTCTTCCATTAAAAGCGCAGGTAACTGAGAAGAAAAGCAAGATCTGTCTCCTTTGCTCAGAGGTCCTTCCAGTCTGTCCCATGCAGTTTCAGTGTGTCTTCGCTGGAACGCTTTATTTGTCTACAGTGGTGAGCTGGGAAGACTCAACCAATCAGGGAACACTTCACCCCTCACCCACCCCGAAGCAAAGGGCTGCCAGCAGGTAAGTGGCAGTGAGTTGGGCTAAAGGGTTCATTGTTCCACGTGTAACTAATTTTTCCAGCCTTGCTGGGTGTCGCCCAGGTGAGCAGACACCTGGTCAGCCCCCAGGTTCCCTGAGCCTATCCACTTTCAATTCGTGGTGGGTAGGTTCTGTGCACCTTGCGCTGTCACGTGGCAGCCACGCCCCCAGACTACTAATGGGCCTCCGCCTCTGCCCTCTGGTCAGAGAATAATGAAGGCCTTGAGTAAGGCGCAGGGAGGCCAGCCTCTTTTCAGACTCTTCGCGCTAGAAACATTACACCCACTTCCTTATCTAAGCAGGAAATCAGCCCAAATTATAACTCCCAAGATTCTATTTACTGCAAAAATGAAACTCATCACATAGATTAAATTGTTATTTGGCGAAATTTAAGACATAGCAAAAGCAAAGTAAATGTGACACTAATGAAGTGTTCTGACCTTGTTTATTAACAGCACTGGCATGTTTGAAAACTGCCACTAGATACTGAAAACTGCAAAAAGATTAAAGCACAGCATAAGAGGTTTTATTGTTTCTGATGCTAGGGATGGACCAGGGCCCCCATGTGCTAAGCAAGCCACGCCCTCCTGCTGAGCTGCACCCCCCCCCCCCCAGCCCTAGCTTCCATGGTTTTCCATCAGTTCTTGTTAGAAATACAAATTAGATGGGGCGGGAGAAATGGCTCCATGGTTAAGAATATTCATTGGTCTTGCAGAGGAGCCAGCATCAACATGGTGACTCACAACCATCCACAAGTCCAGCTCCAGGGGGTCTGATGCCATCTTCTGGCCTCCAAGGACACCAGGCATGCATGTGGCACAAATTATATATATGTGTGGGCAAAACCCTCATACAGATGAAATAAAATAAATATGAAAACATTTGAAATAAATTAGAGAACGCAGGAAATCACTGTGAATGAAAAGCAAAATAAGAACCATTTGTCTCCCAGCAGCTGAGGGAAGATGGTGGCAAAGACTAGTTACTAGTTATGCCTTGCCCACACGTGGGGCTCTGATTGAGAGATAGGGACTGATAAGGAGCAAAGGGTTTCCCCACACTCAACTGACTGTGTAATTAGAGTCTTTATCTGAAATCAGACTAAAGAAAAAATAACAGATCCACATAAAACCTCACTGGTACAGGGTATCTCAGCTATGTTTATGATACTAGATTGTATGAGAAAGCCAATGAATGTCCAAGGAAGTACGACTGGGAAGTCTGTGGCACACACAACCCACAGGGCGAGTAAATGTTCTGGAAGGATATCTGTATTATTATTATTTTCCTGGGGAGTTCAAAGTACCAAAGTCACCACACCTGTAATCCCAGCATTTCAGAGGCTGAGGCAGGAGGATTGATAGAAGTTTGATACTAGTCTGAACTAGAATGAGACCCTATCGCAAAAGAAAAAAATCCAATAATGACAATAGCCAAAGTCTGACCTTATTTTGAATACGAATTTGCATGAATAATGAGGCATGCAGAAAAACACAGTAGAAATGCTACTCAGTGGAATAGTTACAAAGATGCCGACCATAATCATGCCCTCAATTTAGGACCAGAGGCGATGTTCACGTGCTTGTCTTGACTCTTCTCCATTTTCTGACTACCTACAATGATATGATTCTTTTGCAGAACTAAAACCCCAAACTCCTGTAATGCAATCCTCCTTCTCCCCTTCTTCCTCCTCCTTTTGAGAAGGTGTCCCGGTCGCCCAGGCCGGCCTCCAGTAGGACTTGTAACTCTGCTCTCTTCTCTTCTGCTTCCTCCTCCCCAGTGCTGAGATCAAAAGTGTACGACACTACACCTGGCTTAAGCCAGTCTTTTTCCCCCCTTTAAAAATGTGTTCGTTAGCTGGGCACAGTGATATACACTTTTAATTCCAATACTCAGGAGGCAGAGGCAGGTGGATCTCTGTGAATTTGAATACAGCCTGGTTTACATAGTAAGTTCCAGGACAGCTAATGCTATATAGTGAGACCCTATCCCAAAAAGAAAAAAAGAGGAAAAAATTGTTTTTTTATTTTATGTAAATGATTGTCTACATGTATAAACGTGTACTATGTGCAAGTCTGGTACATGTGCAAGAAAAGAATTCAGATCCCCCTGGAACTGGAGTTACAGGTGTTTGTGAGCTGCCTGATGCAGGTGCTTGGGCCTGGACCATGGTCCTAGGCAAGAGCAGCAGGTGCTCTTAACTGATGAGCCAACTCTAGCTCCTCACTTGGGATTGTCAATCAGGTGCTCTATGTTAGGGACAATGACACTGCCAGTGTGGCTTAAACTCTCATAATGGACAAATATGTTTTCTCTCTATAGAAGTTAGAAAATACAGTTTGTTTGTTTGTTTTTTTGTTTTTGTTTTATTTTTTTATTTTTTTTTTGATTTTTTGAGACAGGGTTTCTCTGTAGCTTTTTTTT